CCCAGTGGATAGGAAGTTTGGTGGACTTCAGAGCCAGTCTAGACAACATGGAGAAGAGAGAATCCTTGATCCTACCAGGACTCAAACTCCGACCCCTTGCTTGTCCAGCCTGTGGCCAGTCGCTATTCTCACTGCTCTATCCCAACTCCTGTAGTGATCTTTAAAGTGTGTAAATCAGTGAGACTGTAGTTACAAGTTCTAAGCATTCAGTATATCCCGTTACCAGTCCAAATCCTTTGTCTAGTCACTAACACATGACAGTTTGTATTAGTGTTACTGTTAGTGCTGAGAAATTCTGTGGTGCTTGGACTATAAGACATGAGTCTGGAGTGATGAATTGCATTATTATCAGCCTAGAAACTTTTGGGTTTCAGTTGTATTGTTTATCAAGAGCAAGAGGTATCTTAGTGTTTTGTGCTCTTGAAATTAGAAATGTGTTGTGCCTCGTAACTGAAATTTTGCTTCTCTTCATTTCAATATCTTTTCAACAGAAGCCAAACATTTTATGAAAATGATTCCAAGGTGAACCCAAAAAATAATTCTTAACATTTTTATGGTGCAAGTTCCTTCAAAATCTGTTGAAAAATATTGAAATTGTGACTAGTTTAAAGTCAGCGTTATTTTGCATACGTAAATTTAATTCCTCGGTGGAAACTGCTTCTGCAGCATGTTAGAGCCCGGTGCATAAATCCCACTGGGTTCAAGGGTTAAAATGCATCAGGGCAGCCTGTCATGTAATATGTATGTCCAAACTCTTCTCTGAGTGCTAGTTGTTGGATTAGCAGATGCAGCATTAATACCTCCTCTTAATTTGCATATTGTATGCTGCAGTCAGCATATGCTGGTGACATGAATGCATGTGTTTCCCTCAAACTGTGGTGTACTGTTTCAGACACATCTGTTAGTTTGTTTCTGGGCTGCGCCATAGCTCAAGCGGTTAATCACTGGCTTCCCACTGCGGCGGTCCAAGTTCAATCCTGGGTCTGGTCAGATGGGATTTGAGGTGGTCAGAGTGGCGCTGGGGCGGTTTTTTTCTCTGAGTACTTCAGTTTCCCCTGTCAATCTTCATTCCACAAAATTCTCCATCATCATAATCACCCAGGGCAGGTACAATAGGCCAATCAGTGGCCACTGTGCCGAGTGAACCCAGCCGGACTCCACCCCCTATTAAGCGATTTTTTTAGATTGGTTCTGATCTTGATTCTGATTTTCTTGATGCAGCTCTAACATTTTCATTACAAAAGTTACACAGAAAATGCATATTGGCATATTCCACATTATTAAATCATATTGACCCCGTTTATTGATATCACTGCTTTGCCGTTGGAAATGAATGCAGTATGTGAGCTATGTTATATAACATTATAAAGATTCTACCATGTGGACACACAAAATAGATGAAGACTAAAATACCTTAACTCTTGAACAATGGCAAATCTCAAGGCTGTTTTGTCCACTTTCTGCTCCAATTTATGTTCTCAACAAGCAATTAAAGTCTGGCCATAGAACTTTAAATCAGTCTATATGTGTATTTACAGAATGGGTTTCAATTATACAGATTGGCCCAGATGTCAGTTAACATAAATTATTCTTTTGTATTAATGTGACTACTTACATTTAAACCTGTGAACAGTTGTATGAGTTAGCTACATGTGTTGTTTCTAATTCAGTTTCTCCAGTTCCTTGCAGGTAGCTTCACCAGTAACATTGTGCCTTTTAGTTAGTTTCTTGAGGTGGGGTGAGGCTGAATCCACTTGGTACATCAGCCACTAATTGGCCTATTGTACCAGCCCTGGATGATAGATGATGAGTATGGAGATTTCAGTGGAATGAGAATTGGCAGGTGAAACTGAAATACCCTGAGCAAACTTGCCCCAGTACCATGTTGTCCACCACAAATCCCACATGATTTGACCTGTAATCGAACTCGGGCTGCCACGGTGAGAAGCCAGCAACCAACCACCTGAGCTATGGTGCAACCCTAACATTGTGCCTTAGTTCCTTTTAATTGTCTCCAGTGTTTCATTATTGTTTGTTACTATCAGTTGTAAGTTAACTTAATATTGTGACATGTTGCGCAACGGAGAACCCCCCCCATCAGCAGTGACGCGGCGGGTGAGTCAGCGCTCCCCTCCCCCCCTCTGCATGGTAACGTAACGCGCAACGCGCGGTGACACAACAGGATGACATGGCACCGATTCCTACTGTGACAAAGCACTCATTACGCAAGAGGCAAGCACTGCGGCTATATAAGGGAATTGCACAGCGGCTACGAGTCAGTTGTAACGTAGCAGTCAGCCAGTTCAGTTGTAGTTCCGAGAGAGTTCCAAGCTACCTATGAGTTAGTTAAAGTGTATCAGCAGCGAGTTCTGAGTCAGTTCCGAGTTAGCCAGCAACCAGTCAGTTGTATTCTGGCATTTGCAATGTAGCATTTGTGATACTGCAGATAGCAGTAATTGTGAATCTGTAATTTGGGTGATTGTAAGTGCGAATGTGAAATAAAATTCGCTATATCAAATATGGCGTGAAGTTATTTGTTGCGTTATACACCCAACACGTGACAATTTGGTGTCAGAAGTGGGATGACGAACTTAAACACGCCACACACTAATTATTGTGCATCGAGTACTTTCCTGCAACAAAATGGAGAAACAAGATATGCAAGGAATAATGGAAATGCTGGCAAGAATCGATGCCAGCATGAGATCCAACCAAGCTAAGGCGGAAGCCGACCATAAGGATTTCATAGCAAGATGGGAGGCTGACAGACAGGCCTGGCGAGAAGAGTTGGCTGCAGAGAGAGAAGCCTTCCAAGCAGAGACGAATGCCATCGAAGCCAGGATGGCTGCCATGCGAGCCAAGAGGTTGAAAACCAATATGAATGCCTGGCAGGAAGAGACGACAGCCTGCCAAGATACAGTGGAGACAAATCCAAGCGAAAAACAGGATGTAGTGGGCATGGCACAAGAAGAAGAGGTCCCCGTAGTGATACCGGTCAGAGTGACGATGGCCTGCCAAGAGATGGAGGCACGTCTAGAAGGAGAAAAGCCGGCCTCAATGCACAGGAAACCTGAGGCGGCAGAATTACGAGAGGTACCCATAGAAGACGCCGAAGTAATGCCAGTCGGAGAACCGAAGAAGAAAAGGCGTAGGGACTGAAAGCGACGAATTATGAAGAACCCGACGCGGGAAAATTGCGGACCCCAGAATAAATTGGCCGTCAGCAGGAAGGTGTCCCGCTCTGCAAGAGTGGCATGGCGCCAGAGAAACATCTTCAATAAATCGTGGACCCGAGGAGATCATGTGTCCCGGATAAAGTTGGCTGCCACCTGCAGGAAGATATCCCATCCCGCGGCAGTGGCACGACGTTGGACAAATGCCTAGAAGAAGGAAACTCCCAAGGGAACCTTCAGATACTGGAGAAAGGACTTGGTGCCACGGTCTCATGCCAGCAAGCTGCTGGAAGACCAGGAGGAACAACGACGTCAGCGAGTGCAGACAACGCATCAAGAGCTGTTACGTCGACATAAGGAACCTCCAAAGAAAGAAATGATCAAGGATTGGACCTTGTGGAGGGGACGACCCCCTCCAAAACGTAAAAAGAGACTTCAAGCAGAGGAGGAACCGGATATGTAGAAGAACTGGCCTCCCCAGAGGGAGTGAATGTGCCACGGGAGAAAGCAATGAATGAATGTGATCTTCTGGCGAGCTGAAAGGAAACCGCTCGAGACGAGCTTTGTCTCAAGAGAGTAGTGGATGTAACGGACAAAGAATAGTCACTGCAAGAAGAGTAGCCGAAACAACAGGAGACACTGCAAGCACAGCTACGGGACGGAAAAGGAACGGGGGTGCACCGTTAGGCTATTCGGGACGAACAGCCTTAAGGAGGGAGCAGTGTGACATGTTGCGCAACGGAGAACCCCCCCCACCAGCAGTGACGCGGCGGGTGAGTCAGCGCTCCCCTCCCCCCCTCCGCACGGTAAGGTAACGCGCAACGCGCGGTGACGCAACAGGATGACGTGGCACCGATTCCTACTGTGACAAGGCACTCATTATGCAACAGGCAAGCACAGCGGCTATATAAGGGAATTGCATAGCAGCTACGAGTCAGTTGTAACGTAACAGTCGGCCAGTTCAGTTGTAGTTCCGAGAGAGTTCCGAGCTACCTATGAGTTAGTTAAAATGTATCAGCAGCGAGTTCTGAGTCAGTTCCGAGTTAGCCAGCAACCAGTCAGTTGTATTCTGGCATTTGCAATGTAGCATTTGTGATACTGCAGATAGCAGTAATTGTGAATCTGTAATTTGGGTGATTGTAAGTGCGAATGTGAAATAAAATTCGCTATATCAAATATGGCGTGAAGTTATTTGTCGCGTTATACACCCAACACGTGACAATATCAATAAATTTTTCTTTTACAAAATAGGTGGAAACATGATAAAAAGTATGCTACAATTATTGAAATGTTTCTTAATGAATTGTAAATCAAGAAATATTTTCAAAACAGCTGAGATTTAAATCACGTACAAGTCCTTAATGAGAAGGCCTCTGAAGGCCAAAACACGGTAATGCCACTCAATTTGTAGAATTGTATCACATTGTTTTGAGTTGTGCAGTAAACATGGAGGATCTCATTTCAAGCAATTTTTGTAAATTCAGTGAGTAATAAAGAACTTTCTCATATATTTCAGTGTACATTTTCTAACCACTTAACTGTCTTTTGGGCCATCCTGTATGTTTGTTGGACCTCGTGTGTAATTATAATACTGATTGACTATTGTAATCCTTTGGTAATTTTATGCTACGAAATGAAATGGAGAGTTTACACATAAATTTAAAACAAAAGGAAGAAGAAGTGAACTTCACTTAATCATCTGGGATTTTGTGTGTGATGAAGCACTGAAAATTATTAACAGAAGAAGTACACAATTTTCCACTTTAAAAACTCACAGTATTTCTAGTGATTTAAGATATCTCAAATATAGCATTTCTCTTTTCAGGCAGTCTTGTTAAAATGTTGGATGGTGCAGGAGGAGAATTGGATGGTCCACCACCTATCCGAAGAGCCAGCACAGTTGATATTAATGCAGGAGACAACAGGCACTCACCCAGCCCCTCTCCTCCTCATCCTCATACACATGCTCATCCACCGCCTCATACACATGCTCAGTTACGCAGCAGACTTACTCGAAGAGCAAGTTTAGATGACCTAGAACAAGAATCATGTCAACTCACACCAAGGATTGAAGGACGTATAGTCATCCTTACAGATGAGGTAAGAAATAGAGATACTGGGTTTTTGGACTTTGTCCATCGTCCGGATTCTAAATAAATAAGAAAAACACGATGTTATGGGAATTGGTGGATCTGTTTCCGTCCTCAGGCGAGGAAAGACACCTACTCTGTTGGGTCCCTTAGAAAGAGATGGCCTTAATCACTGGACCAAGGTAAGATATGCTCGAGTATGAGGCTTTTCTTCCCAGAAATGCTGTTAGAATATTCTAAGAGCAATGATATCTTTACTTTGCTATAGCATGAGTGCAAAGTGATGTTCTCAAGCATTTTATTCTGCATGGGTGAGTACCAGGTTATCTTGAAATAGGCCATGACCTTCCTCATCCTTTTCAGTTCACCACACATGACTCCTTCATGTCTTTCAGTGCTAAATGATATCAGAAGCTGATACATTATCACTACGTAGCCTATGTAATAACCTAAAATAATGGGTTTACTGTTTTTATTATCACAAATTGTGTAGTTCATTATTATAATGTTCTCTGCATTAATTATGAAATTCTCTTTGTGTCATACAAGGTCTTCCACAGGGAGTGAGTATTTTAGAATTCTCTCTGTACAAGGGAAGTTTCATGCATACAAGCCACCTGTAAATGTGTGGTGTTTTGGTTGTCATGGTGAACTGGCCTGTGAATCAAAGTGCATTTGTTGAACTTTTTCAGCACAGTCTGTTGTGTATACTAAGGTTCCCCTAACTGAGGGTTTATGAACTGAACTTGAATCATTAGGGCCTACTGATATTTCACAAACTCCTATAATAATCAATTGAAATTGCCAGTTAAGATCCTTGTTAAGTGTGCATGTAGAAAATATACATGGTCTGAGTACAGATAGAGTTTTCTTTAATATTCTGTTGTGAAGATATAGCAGGTTTCTGGGTCTGTACAGGTACTGTTTGAGTCACATGGAGAATATGATTTCAAATTTTAGGTCTTTTCATATTCATATTCATATTTATTTCAAGTTCAGTTGATCCATACATGAGTTGAAAGTACAAACTGTTGGATATAGAACGTGTCACAAAGTAAATACTAGTCTAAGTTCCCAATCATTGGAACAGAGTCAAAATACCCGATAAGAACGATATATGATACAGTACACACATTATTAAAATTTCATTTAAATACAATAAGATAAAACCATAAATTAAAAGTACCAGTAACATATGTATTCAACAATGACTTTAACATGAAGTATAAAAAAAACAAAAAACTAATTACCCTGAGGAAAGTGTCACAACCATCACTTAAAAGCTACAGTATACCAAAGAAACAACCTATGACCACACTTCACATCCAACAAATTGGTTATACCAACCACTGGTCTATACAATACATTCCCAGAATCATGATGCATAACAATAGTACTGTAAACCGTCCTACATGTACCAGCCCCACCAATCAGCCCACAATGCATACAACAAAATGTAATAAGACATCCCACTTCCTAGTATGCCTTCTATACAGGACTTCAATATGCAAAGGGGTGAAAATCACCCCATTCACCCATCAAATAACTCCCGTAGTGAGTAATAGGATTTCTCCAAAAGATATCTCTTTAAAGCTAATTTAAACTGTTTCTTCTTGTTTACTAGATCCTTTAATGAGGATGGAAGCAGATTGTAAGTCTTAATGCCCATATAATAAACCCCTTTTTGATAGCTGGATAACCTTGCTTGTGGCAACTTCAAATTGTTTTTACTTCTAATGTTTATACTATGTAGATCAGTGTTGGTTTTAAATAACTCAATGTTATCTATTACAAAAATTAATAACGAGAATATGAGTTGAGAATAAAACGGTAAAATGTTCAAATCCTTAAATAAATTTCTACAAGAGTCTCTTTTCTTAGAATTAGTAATAATTCTAATTACCCTTTTTTGAAGCCTAAATATATCACCACTATGAGAAGAGGTTCCCCAAAAGATTATTCCATAAGTCATAATGCTATGAAAATACGCGAAATAAATCCTCTTTAGTGATTCGGGTGATACAAAGGGTTTAAGTGTCATAATTGCATATGTTGCTTTACATAATTTAACCTTGAGATCCTGAATATGTTTTTTCCAGGATAGGACACTATCGATAGTAATACCCAAAAATTTAGTCTCCATACAATTGACAATATATTTATTATTATAACTGATGTTTATCGGAATTTCTGGAGTATTAGTCGTTTTGAATTGTATATATTGGGTTTTATCAAAATTCAATACTAGAAGATTGGTACTGAACCACTTATTTATTTGATCAAATACTAAGATAAGGTCTTCTTTGAAATTTATAGAATTAGGGTTGTTGACAATAATACTTGTATCATCAGCGAAGAGAATTGGATAAGAGGACATATTTACCACATAAGGAAGATCATTAATATATAACAAAAAAAGCAGCGGTCCAAGAATTGACCCCTGCGGAACACCGTGTTTGATCTTACCCCACTCTGAGGTCCTCTTAACTTTTACAGAGTTCTCTTCAATAAGGACTCTTTGATATCTGTCTTTAAGATATGATTTCATTAACAAGTTAGCACTTCCAGTAATCCCATAAAATTCTAATTTCTTCAATAATATATCGTGATTAACACTGTCGAATGCCTTTTCTAAATCACAGAATATACCTCCCACCACAGACTTGCTGTTCCATGCTTGTAGAATGTACTTTAATAAAGTAAATATGGCTTTCTGAGTGGAGGAATTACTTCTAAACCCAAATTGATCTGTAGATAATATATTATTATTAACGACATGTTCTAATAATCTTGCTAGTATAACTTTCTCAAATATTTTTGAGAAGGATGTCAATAGTGAAATTGGTCTATAGTTCTTAATATCTTTTTTATCACCCTTCTTATAAATTGGTTTTATTATGGAATATTTCAATCGAGATGGAAATTTACCTGATAATAAATTTACCTCTTTGACAAAAGAGTTAGGGAACCAATGATATAGACGGTGATACTCAAAAGTAGGATATGAGTTTAAAGAGAGTAAATGATCTTCTTTTTTTATTCATGGAACTGCAGGATTGTTTGTGGTGCTTGTTCACCTCACACACCAGAAAACATCGAAAGGATGAGGAATGCAGTACAAAGTTGTCAGCCCTCCTGTTCAGCTGTGTGACATTTGAATTTTACACAAATATTACATTACATGGCATTGCTTTCCGTGGATCCAAAGTTAGCCAAAATGACTGTAGGATGTGGAATATGTCATGTGAATACAAAACATATGTACAGTCCCAGTGGAGTTGTCACAAGAGAAACCAAGAATATACAGTGACTACACACAAGGCTATTTAAAGATACATAAGTTATTTTCTAGACAATAGGTATTCATCAACAGAGTAGAATGAATGTGTATTTAAGTATCGTTTCAGTGCTATTTTAAATCATGCCTTTTCATTCGTAAGACCTTTGAGATCAGATGGCAGGTTATTAAAAATGTTGAATCCAGCATAATATGCGCTTTTCTGAAAGCATGAGAGGTTAGCAATTGGTTTATGAAGACAGTGTTTGTGTTTTATGTTAACACTGTGTACATCCTCGTTCATCTGAAAATGTTCGTTATTTGTAATGAAGTTTATTAATGAATATATACAAGGTGGTTCAAATATGACTGGGACTGATTTGTGTGTAAACAAGCCGCACTGCGCAGTAGCGTGCGACCTTGAGAGAGTGAAGCCACAACCTCCACCTTCCCTCCTGTTTGGGTTAGAACCTGTTCAGTCCTCTCTGGGAGTTGCTAGAGTGATGAGCGAACAGAAAGTACCGTGGAGTGTGGAACAATGCATTGTGATCAAATTCATCATTGGAGAAAACATCCCATCCACTGAAATTCACCACAGACTCCAGCAACAGTATGGGGAAGAGTGTCTCTCACGGACCCATGTGTTTGAGTGGTGTAAGTGCTCCAGAGAGGGCAGAGCATGTGGAGAATGAACCTCATGATTGTTGGCCACGAACATCCATCGTTGAGCCAAACATTGATCATGCAGACGTGCTTATTCGTGAGAATAGGCCCATCACTATCAAGGAACTTGGAGCAATGCTGTCCATCAGTGTTAGTAGTGTAGAAGACATTGTGTAATACCGCCAGCACTGTCGCAAGGTGAATGCACGGTGGGTACCACGCACTTTGACAGACATGAACAAAATGGTGCACATGCAAGCTGCCAATCGTCTCCTACAGCAGTTTGAAGATGAAAGTGATGCATTTTGGAAGTCTATAGTGACCACCAATGAAACATGGGTGCACTACTTCGTTCCCGAGTCCCAGCAGCCGTCTCACGAGTGGCAGCATACCTGTTCTCCCAAACCCAGGAGAGCGAGGAGGAGCTGTTCGGCAGGAAAAGTGATGGCAACGTTCTTCTGGGACTGGCAGGGGGTTATCCATGTAGACTTTCTCACAGATGCCAGAACAGTTGATACAGCTTATTACTCAGACCTCCTGGCAACAGACATGAAGGAAAAGATCCAATCCAAGCAGAAGTCAGGTGGAAAGCGGGTAACCTTCCTTCAAGACAATGCATGCCCCCATATGGCCAAAACAACATTGGAAACCCTCCGGAAATTGAAATGGAACCTTCTGACACATCCGCAGTACAGTCCTGATTTGGCCCCAAGTGATTTCTACATGTTTGGAAGGCTCAAATCACACTTGCAAGGCATGCAGTTTGTGGATGACGATGCCATCATCCAGACTGTTGTGGAGTGGATATGCCGCCAACCACAAGCCTGTTTTGAAAAGAGCATCAGGATGCTTCCAGAACATTGGAAAAAAATGTGTTGACTCCAGAGGGGAGTACGTTGAAGATTGACATGTGCAAGTAAGTGTTTGGCAATTATGGTTTAAAAAAATCAGTCCTGGTCATATTTGAACAACCTCGTATTTTTCACAAGGAAAAGTTAAGATCTGTAGTCTCTTAAATAGATCTTTACAAGAATTATGGGATTTGACATCCATCATGTTTCTAACAATTT